TCCCAGATTCGACAGGTAATTGAATAGGTTGAGCTAAAAAAAAACACTTTTTTTTTTTCGTTGGGGTGATGAGGGGTGGGGGTTTACTAATTTTTTGGGGGGGCGCGGAGGGGCGTGTTCGCCGTTGGGGGGTCTGTGTGGGTGTGTTGAATACGTGAAAAATAAAAAATAAAAATTTGGGGCAGGGAATGGGGTCGTTAGGGGGAGTTGTTGTGTGGTGCATTGGTTCACCGTGGGACGGTCGTTTTGGGGGGCCCAGTGGTGGACGACGGTTCACCGTGTGAGGGTCCTTTTGGGGGGGGAAAGGGGGGGGCTGTGCGTTGTGTGGTGCATTGGTTCACCGTGTGAGGGCCCAGGGACTTCAAACAATAACAATTACAAACAGTTTTCAAAAGCATTGATTCATTGAAGATCATGTGCGAGTGACAATCGTTGCTGAAATTTAGAAAGTACAACATTACAGGGCAACATAACAACAACACGAAACAACTGCACCATACATACACAACAATAAATGAAACATGAAGATTGAACTCAATCAAATAATGTGCGAATACAATGTGCAATCGTCTGAAACATCGATAACAAAGTAGAAGGAAAACAAAAACAATGCAAGCGCTGCAGATGTTGCGCCCATGTATGAATATAGAGTGCAATCCTCTGAAACATCGATGCAAAAATAAAACGAAAAAGAAACAACAATCTGCACCTACTGCACCTGTATATGGACAACTGTGCAGTAGTCTAACCATCCGTACAGATACAAATCTAATAAACACTACACCTATGAACACATGACGTCATCCGAAGCACTAAGTATAATATACACTAATAAGAAATACAGGATGAAAGAGGACTAATGGTGGGACTAAACATCATCGTCGTCCACAATGTTCTTCCTCCTCCTCTGCGGCACCGCACCTCTGACATCGTCGCCGCCACCTGTGCCGCCAACCGGCCCGTGCGCAGTATCCGGAGGATGAACCCCCCCCTGTGGCGCCGCGTCAACCCCGTGCTGTGCTCGAAGAAGGTCGTACACGGAAGCCCTCCTCCGCTGGCCACGAGGTATCTCCAAATCATCGGTACCGGACTCCAAAACGACTCCTGCCTGTGACGGTCGCTGCGCAGGCACCGTCCTCACATCCTCCCCCAATATACGTCCGGCCATGCTCCTCCCGGGGGGGCCGCTGTGCTCCGCCTCCTCCCCCCTACCTGTTGTGCGCCCCCCAGTACATGGCATCTCCGCCTCAGCAGGTGCTGTGATGGGCTGCTCCGTCGCCCGGCTGGAGCCCCTCTCCCGCCAACCTACTGTCTCCGCGACAACGTCCAGGGCCAATGCCTCCCGAGTCCGCGGATGTAAACCGGCCAGCCCGGGCTGAGTCTCCCGCATCGCATGCGTCACCCTTCTCACAGTACTGAGACTCTTACCTGCTCTCATCTTCTTCTTCCGTGATTTGGGAGAAGGAGACTCTGCAGGTGCCGGTAATGTAATCCATCCCGTGACTGGACCCTCAGCATGTACGGAGGTAGTGGCACCAGTGGTGGACGATGGTAGTGACGGGCTGCAGGGCACGTAAGCTGGGCGCTCTGCCATGAACCTCCTCGACGCCTCGTCCATCCGTTCGCGCCGATCTTCCTGCAATGGGTCCTCTCGTAGCTGCCACTCCAACTCCTCCGCCGTCATGGCTCCACCGATAGGCAATATACAAATACCCTAAACCGTCGACGCGGGTCTCTCGCCTGCATCCCCGGCGCCCGCGCCTCCACACTCAAGCACTGCATCGTCCGTCACATGATGACCCTCACTACCGCCCGTCTCGCGCATCCGCTCTGCCCATGCCCTCGACGCAATACTCTGTGCCAGCTCGCAACGGCTAGCCAAGTCGTGCGCCCTCTCCCTCTCATCGCGGTCGATCCTGTCCTGCTCCGACTCTGGCGCTCGCTCCTGCTCAGGTCGACAATCCCCACCGTCCCCTGTTGCACACTCCTCCTGCCCCAACGAACAATATGTCCCCGCTGCTGCCTCCTGCAACATGCTGCTACTGATGTCACCCATGCTGAATGAAAGTACATCCTGGAGTATCTGACTGACGGGCGTAGCCGCTGCGTCACCACTGCCACGCTCACCTGCCGGTGTCGGAGGATGCCCCAACGAAACATCAAGAATACCACTGAAACAGACACCCAACTGCGCAGAAGCCCTCCCAACCTGCGCAGCCTCACGAGCAACCTCTGCAAAGCCCCCTGCGACCTCCTCAGACGCCGTTGCGAACTCTGCAGCGGCCTCTCAAACGACCTCTGCAGCGGCCTCTGCAGCGACCTCTGCCGACGCAGCAGCAAACTCAGCCGACCCGGCGCCAACCTCTCCTGTCGCGGCACCCTCAACAACCCAGTGCACATTACAAGTGGAGGATGCAGACTCTCGCCTCGACCGTCCTCCGCCACCACGGCCTGCACCCCCTGTGTGTCCTGCGCCCCCCACACCCCTGCCTGCACCACTGTTCCCCCTGCCTGCACCACTGCATCAGTCGGCACGATGTCGACCCGACCTCCGCAAACCACCTGCAGCCTTTGTACCATCGCCGCCCTCGTCGTCGTCGTCGTCGTCGTCGTCACCACGTCCGCGTCTCGGGGAATACGCGGGATCATCCTCGTCCTCACTACTGCCCTCGTACCCCTCTCTATCATCGTCGTCGTCGTCGTCTCGCTCGTCAACAATGTCGCGAGTCCCCTGCTCACCATGTCCTGAACGATCTGTAGGTAGAGGGGGATGTTGCGCATCGGCTCTAGTGGGAGCACGACCACTCGAAGGCGGAGGCGGAGGTGGAGGGGGATGCTGCGCAGTGGCTGCAGTGGAAGGACGCACACTCGGGGGCGGGGGTGTAGGGGGAGGAGGATGCTGCGCAGCGAATGCAGTGGAAGGACGCGCACTCGGGGGCGGGGGTGGAGGGGGAGGAGGAGGATGCACAGCGGATGCAGTGGAAGCACGAGGACGCAACATCTCGGCGCTAGGATCATCGTCGCCACCATCATCAGAATCTTCGGGCTCAGACTCCACTGCCAGGTCGTCTGGATCGGACCACGGCTCCGCCTCCATCAGGTCCTGAGCCATAGGATCCGGCTCGGGATCGTACACGGCGTCCAACTCAGTCAGCATGAGCACCGTGGCGCGACGACCGAAATATGTCTCGACGCTGGGCGGAGCCCTGGAAAGGCGATCCTTCCGCCCGCGCTGCACCTCTGTGACTCGGTCAGCTGGTCGAACACCCTCGTCACGAGGCAGAGGAATGTTGTCCTCTGTCTCCTCCTCATCGTCCTCCCATGGAAGAATGTACCCTGAACCCCTCCCGTGACAACGACTCAATCTCAAGTTGATGGATATCTCCACCAAACGAGCCAGCTTGATAAAACCAAGCTGGTTACGCTTCTTCACCTGAACACGCTCATGGACGACCCAGTTCCTCTCCGCTGGAGAGGCGCACATCCACGTGTGTGTCAGGCGAATGGCGTAAGTCTGAAGGAGAGGGACCCCGTCCCCGTGCTGAACCCACCACTGCCCCACCTGCGACGTCTCCTTCTCCCCTCTGCAGGAGGCCGCGTCCCTGTCACCCTCAACCCCTCCGTACGTCCAATCGCCCTCCCGGCTAAGAAACTCAGCCAACTGCGTGCACACCGTCTGATACAAGTCCTCATCTCCCCCAGTCTGCTGGCGAAGGTATCGAAGTGACTCCTCCGCGAGTGTCTTGTCATGCTCGCTGTGCCTCGCCGCTCCAAAATACGTAATGCTCCTGTGGCGAGGGTTGAGGAGGTGGGCGATGCAATGTGCGGGCTCCAACATATGATCGGCCCGCGCCTCACAAGCCTGAACAACGATGTTGAGCTCCTCCCTCGACGTCCTGTTCAGTCTTGCCCTCGCCGCCCTGTCGACCATGGCAAGTGCCCACGACCACATGCGAGTCATCACGCGCCCCCCCTCTGTCCAGACGGCGTAACAGCTGCATCGCAGGCGTCATGAGCTCCACGATGTCCTCCACGTGCTCCCAAAATGGCGCGTACCGCACCTGATGACGCACCCACCTAGCCTGCAAGAAAATGGATCTCCTCCATGCAGTCCGCAACCAGTCGTCGCTCATCATCAATGCCTCCAACGCTCGGCGACGATCCAACAACCTCTCCAGCATCAAGTAGTGGGTAGCAAACCTCGTCTGTGCGGGGTACACAAGCTCTCTGCCTCGCCGCTGAGACGAGGGTGGCGCAGCGCTGGAACTGGCCGCAACTGCAACTGCGGAGGCGGAAGAGGGATGAGCGGCAGAGAACCGTCGGTAAAGGCTGAGAGCCGCCCCGTGCTCTCTGATGAACCGCACGACCTGCTCGATCCCTGATGATGGTTTCCTCCCTCTTCCCAAGCTTCCCGGGGGTGCCGTCCTTCGCAATGTCTGACAACAACAAATTGCAGACATGCACCGCTCACGGTAGCCAAGTAATGCGACCGTACTTGACCTCCTCCTTCGCAAGGAGCTTGGATGCAGCCACATACGCGGACGCAGAATCCGTGCAAATGACGTTAACGTTTTTGACACCGAAGTTGTCGAACACGTCCTTCCATCTCTCCACCACCACCTTGGCTGTCTCCTGGACAACACCATCGCGCTGCACAGTCCTGAAAAGGTAGGCTCCCGTGGGCCCAGCGACAAGTAAGTTGACGATCTGGTCGCTAGTGATGGACTTGCGACCATCCGTGAGGATGGTCGCTCCCGTCGCCGCAATGTCCTCGCGGACGGGCGCCACCATCTCCGCCACAGCTCGCTGCTGCTGTGGAATACCGTCGCCGGAAATGAGACGGTGCGTGGGCAACACAGGATGTGTACACGGCGGACATTTGAGCAACCGCTTCCTCACTCGCTGGTACTCCGGCCTCCTCGCCGCCTCGAATGGAATCCCACTCACGTACCACCACTGTAGGAACTCGTTCGTAAAATCTCGTTGCCACGCCAGATCGAAGGTCTCTGTCATGGAAGTCTGTCGAAGTACTTTGCCCTTCTTCGGCAGAGGAGGAGCTGGTGTCATTGCCTTCCTCTTTCACTTCTTCGACTGCACGGCGTCCTTCATCGCTTTAGCAGCCCCCTCTTGGCCTCGACGGCCAGCGGCCATCAGACCCCCATCAAGAGACGCCCCAAGGTCTGCACCCTGATCGTCGTCGTCATCGTCGTCGTCGTCGTGCTCGTTTGGGGTGCTGTCCTCGGCAAAGGCCTTCTCCCCCCTCATCTTTCCCCTGGCGCGCTCCGCCTCACGCCGCACGTACATGACCTGTGAATCACTGGCACTCTCATCACCTCCCCCCTCGGCCGCCCTCCTCTCCTTCTCACTGTCGTCAGACTCCTCCCCCGCCTGCTCCCTCCCTGAACCATTTCTATTGTCTCGAAACCCACGAGACCTAAGGAAGTCGATGATCTTCCGATGGTGGCTCTGATCGAACGGGTAGTTTGTCTTGTTCCAGATCTCCACGAGCTGCTCCGCGGTGACTTTAGCGCAGTTGTTCTTTATTGTGAAGTGTTGTACGGCCTTCGATTGACTGCCCTGAAAACCCCGGCCGCACAATTTGCACTCCATGAGAAAATTCCTATTGGAGTCCAAGAGTGTTTGCCCCTTCGTTATCCACTTGAATCCGCAGAACTTGAGCTTCGCCTGCCTCTGTTTGTCCTTACTGACTGGGACAAACTGCTGCTCTCCCCACCCACCCTACACGTGGCCCCAACGTGGACAAGGCGCGAATCGCGCCCCCCGCCCCCCCCTCCCCCCTGCCGCCCTGCACGCGCCCTGGACCCTCCGAAGCCTTAGGCGTCCGGGCCGTACGGACGGCCACGTCTCCGTACGTACACGGCGTACGTACGGCACGTCCGTCCGTACGGACGCCCGTGAGCGACGCGCCACGTGTCCCGCGCAGAGGATGGAGCGTCTCCTATGCCGCGTGTGCCGCCGTCGTCGTCGCCTTCCTTGTTGTCTCTCTCTCTCTCTCTCTCTCTCTCTCTCTCTCTCTCTCTCTCTCTCTCTCTCTCTCTCTCT